GCTGCCCACAGAAGGAGCAGCACCCCTCACAGCCCAGCGCTGCATGCCCTCAGCCACCATGGTGCTGCCCCTTATCACAGCTGAGGGAAGTCTGGAGGGAAAATCAGTCCCCCAACTGGTTATACTGGCTGGTGACAGTGCTTTAATCTCTGTCCTGTAATCACACTTCACCCTTAAAACTATGACAAATTCTTCAAAAAAGGTATTACATATAAAGGTACTGCAGGCTTTTGTCACCTGCTACTGACTCCCATCTTGGGGTTCTGAGTCAACACCATGGCACTCTGGCACCTGCCCCTCACCTCCACATTTTTGGCCCTGCTCTTCCATCACTCACTAATTCCCCAAAACCTCAGTGTTAAGGGGTTGGGCCTGTTGAACACTGACCCAGCAGGCACATGGTGCACCCTCAATGCACACAATCCCCCTTGGCCAGTTCCCCTCTGGTCGCTTGTAAAGAGCCAAAGCTGCAGCCCATGCTCAGGCTGGAGAAAGGTGTTGCCCACCTGGTTCAGCTGAGCACATCAGGCCTCTGAAAGAGGCAGGTACCAGCAGAGGAGTGAGCATGTCGAGGGCGGGATGGTTTTGAATGAGGAGAGTGCATGCTACTAATCACTGCACAAGTAGGAGCTGTCAGCTAAAGGCCATCATCACGCTCATTTCCATCATCACATGACAGAGCTACAGGCAGATCCAGACTCTGTTCCAGAAAATATTCACCTCTCAGGCAAATGCCTGGCAGATAGGTCTGGCTGCCTCCACTTACCTTTTCAAAGCAGCTCTCAGCAAAGAGGGTCAAGAAAGAAGTAATCTTGGGGAAATCAGCTCTATTGGGAGTCCTCAAAACCAGAGGGCAAGCAAGCACTAGGGACAGCACTGGACATGGGTGCTGGATGTTTCCATACAGCCTCTACTAAGAATTTTTACCTCCAGGGGAAACCTACGACCATTCCTCCACATGGGAGGGCAAACAAACCCACAACACAAAATGCAGACAAAATTAACAAAATTGAACCTCACCTTCAAAATATCCTGCAGCTGCCTCAGAACAGCATGGACCTCTTCTTGTAAAAGCCATTTAAACTCTTCTTCCTACATCATGGGAAAATAGTAGTGGAATCATGAGAAGTCAAACAGTGGAAGTAAATCTCTCAGACACATGTGAAACTTATTTAAGTTCCAAGTGTGGTGCTATTTCTGTGCTGTTTAAATCAAGGAGGAAAAGAAAAAGATTTCTTCCTGGTTTGCTCAAACACCTCAGTCTCCACATCTCCACTTGTCTATCCCAGTCCAATGAACTGTCCTCATTCTTGTCCTGACTTTGTTTAACAAAGCAGCATTCACACAAATCACTGTACCAATAATCCCAGAATTATGAAAGAACAGGCAGCATGGGATGCAAATTTCAGAGCAAAGTACAAATCCTGCTGCTTCAAAATCTGGAGCATCTTTTTAAGCTGCTGGGATGGGCTGACCTGACTGCCAGACACCAACACAACCTTCCCCACTGCCTCTCTTGAACAGGTTGGGGGAGGAAATAAGTTTGTGGGTTGGGGTAAAGCCAGGGAGATCCATTTCCAGTTCCTGGTACAGGCAAAACTGTGCCAATTTGCAGACAAATTTGTTGCCAATTAGACGGTGAGAAACAAAGATAAAAACCAAAATGCCCTCCCCTCCCTCCCAGCATTTCCCCAAGTAACAGCAGACTAAAAGCACAGCAAGCTAAATTGAAAATGGGGTGGGGGAGACACAGACAATCACCGGGCCAAATTCAGTAACCAACAAGTTTGGATCTGGTGACTCATTGTCTTGGGCCTCCATTAGTTGCTGCCACAGAGAAGGCTGTATAAAGCAGACTCTCAAAGCACAGCTAATGCTTCTGTTAAACCATGAGATCTCATCCAGATCATCAGAGAAGTGGGGACAAAAGCAAGCAGACTACTACTTGTTACCCCGTAAGAAAAGAGAAATTTTCCATGTGGAAAGTTATGGAAGGGAATGAATTGAGCAGATTGCCCAAAGAAAAATGGGCAAGGTGTGGTCAACTCAGAACTTTAAGCTTGTGGTTTCTCTGGTAGACAGTTCCCGTTCACCATGAGGCACACAAAATAACCACTCATTGATGTGTCAGCACCTCACACAAGAGTTTTCCCAACAACTAGTAGGAGAAGGCCAAGTTTGTTTCAGCAAACATTCACCCAAAGCCAGCACACACAACAAAGCCAGGTAGGACTCCCTGTTATCCTTCAAAGAAGTCTGGGTGCAGGACCACTGACTTCCACCATTTAATCCTGGTCTGGATTTCTGGGAATCATATTGATCACAGAACCACAGACTGTCCTGAGCTGGAAGGGACCCATCAAGTCCAAGTGCGGGTCCTGCACAGGACACGCCAACAATCCCACCATGTCTCTGAGAGCATTGTCCAAATGCTTCTTGGACTTTGTCAGCCCTGGGGCCGTGACCACTGCCTTGGGGGAGCCTGTTCCAGTACCTGACCACTCTTTGGGTGAAGATCCTTTTTCAAATATCCAGCCAAAACCTCCCCTGACACAGCTCCATGCCATTCCCTCGAGTCCTGTCACTGTTCACCACAAAGACAGATCTCTCTGCTCTTTCTGTAGCGCTCGCTCTCCTCCAGATTCCCAAAGGAACAGTGATCCCATGGGTGCAGCAGATTCCTTCAGTGCCTCCACCACCCACCGGCACTATGCAGGTGTTTCTACTTCAAAATCCCACTGGTGTCTTTCTCCCCTCTAGTCACAGCAAGAAATCTCCCCCTCCACACTAATTTCAGACTGAGTCAAGTTCATGCACCACATCTGTGCACTACATAGCTGTATTTTTGGGAATACTGCTCATAACCTTCCAAACCACATTAACGTGAGAAAGACCTGTTTTCCCCCGGGGCTTTCCACTCAGCCCGATGGATCTCTGAACCGCCTCCCCAGAGCGGACGTCTTGCTCCTCCCTCGCAGCCGCTGTCCCGGGGAAGCCGCAGTGGCGGCTGCTCTGCGCCATCCCCGCTGCTGCACCAGGTCCCCAGGGCGGCTCTGGCCGTCGTCATGTGCGGGGCCTGTCACCAAGGTCACGGTGCACATTCGGGGTGCGCCAGGAGCAAGGCGGCCCCGCCCGGGGCACACTGGCACGGAGACCCGAGCGCCGCCGCCGGGGGAGGCCGGAGGAGGCCCGAAAGCCTGGCCCGGCCACACGGCCGGAACGCGGGCACCGCCTGCAGCCAGGGCAGCTGCCCCGCGGTCGGGACCGGGCGGTCCTGGCATAGCGCTCGGCCCGGGCCGGGGCGCGGGAACAACGGACGGCCTTTCCACCCCATACCGCAGCTCCCCGCCCGAGCAGCCAGAGTGGGCCTGCGGGGCCCCGGCAGGGCTGCTGTGGCCGGGGCGGGGCCGCTGCCGCTCGCTTCGACCCCGCCGAGCGCCCGCCTGACTCACCAGCACCGCCCGCTCCGCCGCGCTCGCCATAGCCGCCGCCATCCCGCCGCCGTCCGCACCGCCCCCGGCGGCCGCGGCTCCGCCCCGGGCGCCGCCATTGGCCGAGGCACCGCCCCGCCGCTCCTTCATTGGCTAACGGCACGGCCGGGCAGAGCCTGATTGGGCAGCATCCCGTCCAGGACCCCTCCCACTCACGGTCATTGCCCCTCCCGACCCCGCCCATGGCGCCTCACGGCAATGGCCCCTCACAGTCCCGGCCCCGGCCGAACGCGGGGATCAAACCGAGCTGCGCGTAAGAATCCTCAGGAATGCGTGAAAACGTGCAAGTCTCATCGCCTCTTCTCAAAACAAATATATTTATCCTGGCAGGGAGGTCGGCGGGTTCGAGCGGGAGCGAGGGGGCCACGCACACAGAGCCTTCATCGGATCGGCCCCTCGTGGAAATGATCCTTTATTCCCGGAGCAGGGAAAGCTTCCAACAGCACCAGTTCCCTGCTGCAAGCACAGCTCTCGACTTTGTCACGTTCTGCGTTGCTTCTAGTGGCAGTGCTCTAGAGGGAGTGGTTCCTTGGGCACCTGTAACTCCTGTACCTGGAGCCCCCTGGCGTGAGCACCAGCCCCTCGTGCCTCGGCAGGAACAGCTGCAGCTGTCCAACTGCAAAAGCTGTCCGATTATCCACAAACAGTATTCCAGAGCTTGCAAAGACTTCAGTTGAGGGATCGTGTCTTGGAATGCCCAACCCACTGCTGAGTTAGTGTTCATAGAATCATGGAATAGTTTGGGTTGAGGGACCTTATCACTAGTCTCGTTCCACGCCCCTTCCACTGGACCAGGCTGATCATAAGACTTAGTGTTCAAAAAACCCCAAATGCCAGAAGGATGGATACCCCAGCCCATCAATTACACAAGTTGTCATCAACACCAGAACATTAAAACTAAGCATCCTCCTCTCACCCCAGCTGCATGGAGCCCTCTGCACACAGAGGCTGGAATTAATCCAAACTCATCCTCTGCAATGCCTCACTGACAGTTCCAGGCTTCAGCAATTGTCAAAGTGCTCCCGGGAACACTGTGGTTTCTCAGCAGCTCTGAGTTTCTAATATTCTGTGGAAGACACATATTTCCTTAATGCCTCAAGACAACTCTGACAGGCTTTAGAAAGTGTCACAAGAACACTGTGTTACCAAGAAAGGTTTTATTCTTTTTGCCAGTAGCTTTGTTAATTGCACAAAAAAAACCCCAAAAACAACAACAAAAAAAAAAAAAAAAAGAAAAAAAAAAACAAACAAAAAAACCTGTTTTGCCATTTAAACATTTTCCACACATCCTATTCTGAATGACAAACGTTAATTAAAAACAAGGCAAGAAAATAAAAATTCACAACCTTAATGAACTATAGGATCTATCATTGAGGAAAAAGGAAGTTGCTTTTCTTACAAGCTTTTCACAAGTGTCACATTTTCTCTTTAAAAAGGAGGGAGTCAGAAGAAAGCAAATTGCTAAAACAAATCCTCATAAAAAGAAACTTTACAGAATTGTCAACGATATTAAGACAACATTGACTAGCTAGTTTTATTAGAGCATCTCTCAATCCACTGCTTCCCTCACTCCCCTCCCCCAAATCTCAGGCCTAGGAAACAGATTGAGGTCCATGTTCAGAGGCTACAGACATAAATACAAGAATCCTACTGAGACTGATAGCAATCTCAACAGGCATCTGGAACAGTCTGGTTTTCCCCATTTCCATCCCTCCTCCTCACTTCACAGCCACATAAGAGCTCTTGGTCTCCTTCTGCTCCTCCCTGGCACACCTGTGACTGTACAGCTGGCCAGGCAGCACCACAGCTACTCTACAGCCACTCTCACTGGACATCAGCCCAAAGCTGCAGTCAGACCTTCCCAGGACAAATTACAGTGTTGAATTAGCCTGTACCCACCACTCCCACAGAAATAATCATATTCATTCTGGGAAATGCAGTATTTCTGGAAAACAAACCCTGCAGTAGTGAGCTGCCTAGGGACCAGTTCTTGGAATTCACTATGAAACACCTGTCACAGGACTTGAGAGCTCCTTTTGCATTCTCACTGTATCCAGAGGCACCACAAAGTAACAGAGAAGAAGATCCTCCATTACCTTTGCGCAGACCCATTCACCTTCACTCTGGCCCAAAAGGGCAGGGAACACATAGGGGATGCTGCTGCACTGGCTCGGCACAGTTCACTCTAAATTGCGCTTGAGACAGTACCTCCCTCTTCCTCCCAAAAATTTTCCACTCTAAAATCTGTAGTCTCATCTCCTACCTGCAAACCCACAATTTCCCCCAGATGCCCTCAATGCATAATCCGTTTGAGTGATTTCCTTCCTGTGGCATGTTTAACCAAGGACTTCAGGTGCTAAACAGCGGAGATGTGGATGGGGAAGCGCAGTGTGTCAAAGCAGGTCAATGGCTGGTTATCCTGGGCACATTTCTGTGCCTTTTAACATGGATACCTACATGCAGGACGGCAGCGGCACTGTCAAAGGAACACGGATGTACGACTAGCATCGCTCACACACACTGACCAACGGGCAGTGAGGTCTGACAGCTCTTTTGCCAGGTGTTCACCATAGGACATAAGTAATGCAGAACACAGCATGAGCCCAAAAAGAACAGAGATCACAGGAGGTGAAATACTCAAAGTAACATTTAGAGCATGAGGCATTAGATGTTGTGATTCAAAATGAGTATCTGATACTCTGTTTCTTAACAAGGTGCCCCTGAACCATACGCATACACTGCACAAAGCGGGATTGGGAAGAAATTCTAATCCAGGGGAAATTTCCTTACACAGCCATTAAGTTCCTAGGAATAAAAAAAAAAAAAAAAAAAAAAAAGAAAAAAGAGTGGGAAGAGCAGACCTTAGGGATTTAAAGGAACTCAGCCTAATTTGAATCTGTTCCTTTTCCTTTCAGAATCCCAGCCCAAGGAAGGAAGGAGACTGTGCCACCAAGAAGTGATTTTGGCCAAAAGTTTCTCACTTGGTATTTTTCTAACTCTAAAATCTAAAATGCAAGAACACTTTTAAAAGGCTGAGAATTTAAAAAACAAACAAACAAACGAAAAAAACCCCACCCTGCACATTTTGAGAGACAGGCATCCTTTGGACTCTTGGTTGCTCTGCTATCAACACTGAGAGCATCTCTGATCTCTAGCCTTGGCATCTGTGCAGTTCATGTCACCCATTTCTAAACTAAAGCTCAGCAGTGGTCTTTCCCTCCCCCATTTTAGTTACTGTTCTTTCTAGAAGTTGGTATCTGTCCACAAGCAAAGTCACAGTTTCAGGGAAAAGGCTCATGCTGTGCTACTTTGTACCCAGAGCAGGAACACTAAGAACATGTATGGAAAATCTGACATGTATAAAGATCACTAGTCAGTACACAAAAGTATCCCTATGAGGTAGGTAATCATCACCCACCTTTACAGATGGGCAATCAGGCTGAGAGATGTAACAACCATGCAAAGGCCAGAGACCGTGGAAAGGAGCTCAGGATTCTTAACCTCTTGGATCATTCTTCTCGCCCCTTTCAGACTCATCACTCTGCTTATGACAGTGCTATAATCCAAGACACCTTTGTAATTAGGGACTACAAGGGTTAAAAAAAAAAAGCAAGAAGTAGCAGAACATAAGCTAAGGCCATGAGCAAGTAAAATCTCTAGCCCAGTTTTCGGCTCTGTGCTTCTCCTGCAGTTTTCTATGCAAACATGTTGCTCTCCAATCTGTCTTGGATGGGCTGTGATTAGCCTTTTAGGAGGCTCATTGACACTGGCATTCTCCCATTTTCAGTACCATTTGTGTTCCCTAAGCTATAGCTGTCTGTACAGGGGAAGACATGGATTCAATGTGTTGTCTTTAACAGTACAGGAATTCCTCCATTAAGGTGCAGGGGAGGTGGAAGTTTAAAAAGAATAGAATCATGACAGTGTTGCATGCAACCTCCATTACCCTCTGGAACTGCCCTTCTCCTCCACGGGAGGTGCTCTGTTCTCTAACAGTGCCAATTAACAGGAATGCTCCTCACCTTACTTGGGACCAAGGACTTGAGTGATATTCACAGGCAGATGGGGTGTTTGTCATCTGTCTCCTTGATGCAGAGAGTCCAACATACACATTATTTCACAGCAAAGGAGAAAAGGGGTTGTTAGAAACAGCATCTTGGACAAGCAAAAAAAAAAGGAGAAAAATAAAAGCAGCCAAGCAGCGGGTTTCTGGGAGAGTTGCCTCAGAGCTTCTGAACAATTGCCGCTGTTCCGTCCCATGACTATCAGTGCATGGCATGGACTTTTCTAATTAGACTGCAACAATCCGAGCCCCCTCCTCCCCACCTCCTGCCACAGGGGAAGGCTCACCGCAGCAGCTGCCTTGGTGGCAGGTCTCAAAGTCTGTGTATAAAAGGAAATGGAAAGACAGAGATGGACTGGTCCAGAGTTAAAACCCAGTATCATAATAATATTAATCAATAATCATCGTATGAACAGTAAGAAGGGTGCAGCCTAATGGATGTAGGCCCTGTAGACTGCAGACATGTCGTTGTCAGATTGGTCCAATGCTTTTGCTCGTTTATAGACCTAGAGAACAGAAATCAGAAAAGGATCAGAGCCTGCACTTAAGTGAAGCCTTTCCCCAGCAGAAAAATTCCCTTGTTGGCCACTGCAATCAGAGAACTGCACAGTATGTCAAGTAATCAGAGCAGTGCAGATCAGAATGATTCTGATCTGCAGGTCTTGTTGAGGCCATCTGTGTTTCCTGATGTGACATTCTAAGGGCTTCTACAATCAAAACAAATCCAATGTCACCCTAGTCAAAATATATTTCAATCACTGTTTCTTTGTATTAGAGATTATGTAATTCTTAGATTTGCATCTCTTGTGGACAAATTGCTCTGCTGAATAGATGAAGAACACATGTCTGAACACTGGACAACTCTTACCTCGTTGGCAGCAGCTGCCATGGGAGTTGGGTGGTTGACAGAATCGCCCAGTGCAATAGCTAATCTAAGATCCTTCTGTATGTATTTCAGGTAGAAATCAGGTTTAAAGTTTCCTTGTAAGATATCTGTTGAGAGGAATGCATGCAAAAAGTAAGCATAACAAAAGTAAGCCAAGCCCATGTTGCAAAGGGCTGAAATTCAATACCCATCTCCCTTTCCCTTGCTGATCACTACTTTTAGCTCTCCTGTTTCTCTATTCTCTATCTACACTATGATGTCAATAGCGACATCATCTGGTTGCAGGAGATGATGTCACTATTGCCCACTGACAAAGTGACCTCAGATTTCTAAGCAGCTTACCCTCCATTTCACCTGCTACCCTGCCCCAATGAAATCCTAACTCAAGCACTAGGCAGTCCTAATTCATATTCTCAGTAGCCCTGGCTATGAAGGGGAAGGAATGGAACTCAGATCTGCATCTCCAAAATGCTTAAAATAACCATAATCCCAAGCTGATGAAGATGGGACACTTATTTCTCCCTTTCTGCCACTAGCTGAAATGCTGCTAGGTTGTAACAAATGCCCTATAATAAAACAATATAAGAGAACTTTACTTTGGCACTTCTGGTCCAGGAAGATGCTGGCAAGTTGTCCCTGATTGAGGATATCCAGAAGGGTCTGCTGGGACTGGCCAGTCACTTGAGCCAAAGTCAGTCCTTCTGCTATTGTTGCCATGAAGCTGCCTTGGACCATGTTCACAATCAGCATCATCTTGGCAGCATTCCCTACCTCACCTGGGAGTGAAAAACATCATTGAGATTCCTCCAGAAGAGAAACAGCAGCCCTGCTCCCCCAGCCCACATAGCAGTAACACCACTAGACTCTTTGCATCAAGCACTCAGTAGCTTCCCCTGAAAGATTTCAGAAAAAGTTCTCATTTTTCAAGCACTCAAAGGAAGGGAGAAATCGTAACAAAATATGATTTAAAACCAAAAGCATCACAGATCCTCTAAAGTGAGACAGTATTCAAAAAAGAAACCTTAGCCTGCAGGCTCTGAAACTGGCCAAGTTCCAGAGGAGCAGGCCAATTTCCCACATTGCCCAAGGAGACAAGAAACAAATCACATATCCGCCTCAGACCCCTTGCTGGAAGGAACTAAGAAACTGCTGTATTTCAATTACCTAGGAAAAAAGAGGTCTTCCCCATGGCTTGGAAACAGCTGCTGCAGTCCTCATATAAACCCCTGTCACCAGCTGCCAGGATCACAAGCATCCCATCATTAGAGAGCTGCTGGTTTCCTGAGACTGGTGCTTCCAGAAAGCGACCACCCCGGGACACTATCACCTGGAAAAGAACATCTCTGTTTAGCTGTGCATGGACAGCAGCAGGAACATCACTCAGAGCATTCCTGCCCCTGAGGACAGAATTTTAAAGCAGAACAAACAGCTCTAACATATAACCAGGAGAGGAAAGCACTAACACGTGATGCACTGTATCCTATAAAGGATACTTAAGACCAAAAGTTGCCCTCACACTCCAGCAAGACCTTCCTGCACCCATCACTATTGTGCATGTTTTAAACAGCTGAACTGACATGCTTTAGCCATGGCACCCTGTACTGGCCAAGGGACCAGTGCTGAAGGTGTACATGTGGTGTGGGAGTATCAGAAGATTGACCGCTGGGGTATTTTCCCCCTTCTCCCCAGAGAGGAAAGGCATTTGACAGATCTCTTCAGCCAGAGGTTTACTAATACGTATGATTTTTATTCTCCAAACTGATGCTACACACTACTGCATCACCAACACATCTGATACCACAGCAGAAGTAATCAGAACACTTCTACAGAAATCCTCTCTATTATATTTCTACAGAATGAAACATGAGGGCATTCTTTCTTCCCAGAACATCTTAACTAAGGAGGTTATGCATTCTATCAATTTAACTACATTTATTAATCCAGACAGGACTTTACCATCCAGTTTGCGACAGAATACCAATCTGGCTATAAATACCTCTTAAGAGATCAAAATTTGTCTGTCTGTTTACACTTGATGCCAGCTAACAGACCTGCCAAATCTACAGGTTTGCTGGTATCACCAGGGAACATCTCATCCAACTCTGTTTGCTGGTCAAGATTTGACACATTATTTTGTCTAATTTGCCTGGAACTTGAGAGTCTCCCAAAAGAAGCCCAACAGGTAATAAACCGCCTGAAGCAACACGAACTGCTTCTGAATCACAGGTGTTAAGAGGCTCAGTTCAGTGATTACCTGGGCCAGCTCTGTGACTGTGTCTGCATCCACGGTGGACATATCCACATAACACTTCCCCGGGCGAATCCCCTGCAACACTCCACTCGGACCAAGCACCAGCTGTGGAGAACAGAAGAGCGGTAAAGCAATAGGGTGTCTGCAGAGAAACCCCAATCCTGCAGGACAGGAGGCCAGGTGAGCCTGGCACTGCAGTGGCAGACCACCAGAGGGGAATCAGAACCTGTCCTCAAAGGGTTGGTTTTTAAAAAGTATGATTTTTGTTTGGACGTTTATTTTTACACAGCTGCACTATTCAGCATCTACAATTACCCAGGCTGCTGTGGTTAGCAGGAATCAGAACTGGCATTCAGTGACTGCATCCCATAGTCTAACCAGCGGAGGTAAAATAAGAGCTAATCCTTACATCCTTTGCTGCTTTTGGATCTGAAACGCAGGCAAAGGTGATGTCACATGTGGAGACAACTTCAGCAGGGGTTCTTCCCAGCCGTGCACCCTCCTGGATGAACAAATCACACTGTAAAAGGCACAAATCCAAAGGTAAGAAAAATTAAGTACAGAGCAAATGGGTTCTTTGCATTTTGCTGAAACAAACCTCACTGCTGGACACAACTCTGAAACAGTCAGGCACGTTAATTACACAGCAACTTGGTCGTCTTCCCTTGCTTTGTCCACACACACATACAGAACTTTTCTGAAACTCCAGGTGAAGAACTTTGAAAGAAAACACTTAGGTGAAACGATAAGAATGTTGTGGGTTTGGGAAGAGATATTAAGGAAAAAAATTGGAAAAAGAACAGAGAAAAAGGTGTTACTGGACACTAAACAGGAATATGCACAGCTGAGACTGATGTGTTTCAGCAGCCTGCTGCTTCAAATCTTAGCTCATTCTTACCTTATCCTCTCATACCAGTCATGTTTTGCTATTAAAAAAAGATAAATCTTTTAAACCCTTTTAACTAAGTAACTACAGGGCCCTTCCTGCTTCGATATTGCACAGCATCATCCGAGTACATCTCCCCCAGATACCTACTTTTCCTCCTCCACTACAAAGAGTAACACTGTTGAGAATGTGAGCGCAATATAAGCTCCATCTTCGCTTTGAATGCCCCCATAAAACCCTTCTCATCCTGGTCTGTTGACACAGCAGGTTTCCAACAGAACCCTTGTTACTGCAAAAATGGATGTAGACAAAGCTGTGGTTGAGCAGTACATCTTACCACACCTCTCCTGGGATAACTCCCCCCCATACCTGGCCTTTTTGGCGTAACACTGGATATTCACATCAGCAGTATTTCCAGAGACATATCACATCCCAATTCCCAACTCATATACAAGGGTTTAATTTTTCTGACAACTCTCTGCTCTCGTACAAAATGGCAGTGGGGTGGGACTGGTAATGTAAAGTGACCACACGAGAACAGCCCACAACTGCATCTGGTCACAAGTGCCCACTGACAAGCACCTAGGAAACAGGAACAGAAAAAGGTAGCAAGTGCATCCTTGTGTTTCTTTGGCATCCTCTCCCAGGCACCACCGACAGATGACCTCAGGCCTCCCTAAGCTACAGGGGGAACTGCATGCTTAAGAAAGGTTCAGGCACATGCCTACCTTCTCAGCAGTCCGGTTCCAGACAGTGACAGTGTGACCCATCTTCAGCAAGTTGGAGACAATGCCACTTCCCATCAGGCCAAGGCCCAGAAATCCTATCCTGAGGGGTAGAGATAAACGTGAATGCAAGAGAAAGCAGTAGGTGTTCATCTCTCATGGTGCTGAATATAATGAAGAGTAAACTCTGGAGCATCATCAGCAAAAAAAAAAAATAATCCCCAAACATGTTCCAGTGCAGCCAAAGCTAGAATGGGCAGATACTGAGCTTTAAAATCAAGCTGGGATTTATTTTGCTTACCAAGCATCCCTAACAATTTCCTGGAGAAAGTCTTCACCCTAACTTCAGAAGATCACATAAATATTAAAGGTTTGAGTGGTCTGGGCTCTTTTTGGTTTTGGGGGGGGCTTGGTTCGTGGTTTTTTGTTTGTTTTATTAAAATTGCTGTTTGTGTGCTTTCTGTTGCCAGCCATTGCCTCACTGAAGTTAAAGGGAACATTTAGAGATCAGCAGGTGCTTCTCTAATTAATTTTCTGGTTTTAAAGTTGTCACACATACAATGCTTGTATATATAACTGAATGATACATTACAATATTTATTTTAATAAAGCCTAGCAAGGACTACTGGGGTAAGCATCATGCACAGACCCAAGATCTAGTCCCTGCTCTACAGCTGTGATTTCAAACAGGAAGAGAGGAAGTATTAGGCCAGTGCAGGTCACAATGAGTCCCAGACAGCAGCTGCCTTCCCCTCCTCCTCCACCCCCAAGCTGGAAAGAGTTTTGCTCCCCTCATTCGAGAAAAAGACAATGTGCCAACAAGTTCCATCCTTACAGTCACCTGCAGCAGGAATTCCTTTGCAGATATTGCTGCAAGGACCCTTTTATCCATCATGCAGCTTCCTGCAAAACCCACAGCTCTAGGAGAGATTTCAAAGCACTGAGCTACACGTCTGATGTAACTTCACAATGAAAGCTACGTGGCAATCCCCCAGTTACCTCAGCAGAATTAGCAGTTGCACTGTAGCTTTCACAAACCACCTTGTCCTTTCTCAGCTAGCCATGCTGCCTTTTCTTCAAGCAAACTAATTCAGACAGGGCAGAGCAAGTCACCACAGGCTCCCTATGCAGCCAAAACAAGGTCCACCTATTCTCAAGTCTCTAGACCAGCAGAGATACTCCTTTCCAAACCCACCTCTGAGCCACACTTTCCTGAGAGACTGTTTTACCTGAACAGCTTCATTGTTATTTTGGTTCCCCTGGAGTACTGGTGAGAACTGACATCCCATGAGAGCAGCCCAAACGGCAAACAGCAGGAGTGGCCTGAACTCAATTTGAACAGAGCGGAAGTTACAGAGTGAAACAGGAAGCTCAAGTTCGGCTTCTCTCACTCTATGAAGGAGAAAGGGGGTGTTTAAAAGAAACCAGAAAGCTCACGTGCTACACAGCAAAGGTCTTGTGATGGGAGAACGCACCTCCCTCTTCCTCTTGTCTTCTGCATGCCCAAGAGAGTGATTAAACAACCCCAGTCAACTGCAAGGCACTACCGGTGACAGATCCCCTTTTATCTTCCTACCTCATGTAACACTCAAGAATACTGCTGCTAACGCCCTGCAGTGGGACCTTGTGCATAGGGCAACTGTAGAAACACCCCAAATTGCAGATGTATCCAGGACACAATTTATTCTGAGTATTGTACTGTACAGTCCCCTTTGTTTTTAGCTGCCTCCCTCCCCTTTGCCCCTAGATCAGAGTTTCATACAAGGACAGAGGAGATGTGTAGTTGGAGGGAAATGTCAGGTTTATTCATTCGCAGTGACTGGCTGGACAGTGGCTGCATGTGTGAGCTGTGAAGGAGAGAAAGGGAAATGGCTGAAGTGTGTTGGAGATCTTACTTTTTGTCTGTAGGCGTGATGCTGCCATTGACTGCTGTGCTGTCTGCTGCCTGGATGGAGGTGGATCCTGTCTCCTGGGGGAGTGGGGTGGGGTGGAAAGAGGGGGAAAAAAATAATAAAAAAAATAGAATGCACAGCTCTGGAGGAACTGCAAGGCCTCACAACAATAGGGAAAATCCATCAAAACCAAGATTTGCCTTACCTCTTCACAAACCTTCAGCTTCTTTGTGATGGCTTGATAGCAGACAGCTGGCTGTATAGAGAAGACAAAGCATTCAGGAGAAGGACAGTGCTGACTTGCTCTGCTGAGCAAACAGACCATATCCTTGTTCCATAGGAACAGGCAGCCCACCCACCCACCACCATCTGCAAAGCAAGACAACTCTGGGGCTTCCCTGAAGGGGAAAAAATAAAACCAAAACCCTATTGCAACATATTAGGTCATCCTTTCCCACCCTGCCCCAGCAATTCAGCCTGTCTTCTAACAGAGGTCCTGCAAACTCCCTTCTGTAGGTCCTATGACAGGCTGCTCTGGAGACCCCAAAATGCAGGGCATCCCTGCTCCCACATTTAGCTCTCTGAATGGAGCAACCTCACATCTACGCTCACCATGTCTCTGCAGCAGTAGAAGCAAAACCTTCTGGTTAACACGAGAAGGCACGTGGCTTTCTACAAAGGCTGCTCCTTCCCATGCTGCTTACTGTGAGCTTGTCTAGATTAAAACTGTTAGCAGCTCTTAAGCCTTCTAACTCTGCCCAGATCCTCAGCGAGATATAAATCCTTTTACATTAAACTGATCTTTCCTTTTCCTCCTGATGTTCACTGCTGAATATAAAATCCTGCAAGGCTTCTGACTCTTGGGAGATAAATTTGCTATATCTTACAAAGAGCTTTTCTAGTTCTGGAAATTCTCCTGCAACATTCAGTGAGTTGACAAGCCCATCCAGATGAGGAAACTGACAGGACAGCCATCAAAAACAATCAAACAGCAGGATTCTCAAACAGAAAAACAGCTTTTCCTGCCCACCAATCTTCATTCTACAGACTTTATTACAATAGATCTGTCAAAACCTAGTGCTCCATGATCTTTAATTACTTAAAACTATTCACTGTACTCAATGCTAAATCACTCTAAACCTTAAGGCTGGAAAGTAATTGAACTACAAGATTGCAATCTAATTGCCACTAGCCCTCAAAAAACAGAATTCTGGAGCTCTTTACACATACTCCTTGTACTCAGCCCCAGCAAAGGGCAGGATGCCAAGCTAGACAGACCAGGAGCATGATCCTGTCTGTCAAATCCTCACCTTCTCTGTCTGGCTCAGCAGGAAGTGATGAAAGTGTGGATCACTGTCCTTCGCGGGCTACAAAGAGAGCAAGTACAGCCTCAGAAACATTCCCAGAAAGTCACTGAGCAACAACAGCACAATTCCCTTGCTCTCCCAAGCTGCATAAGAACAATAGCTTAAGGTGGAAAATATAAAATGTATCAACTGTCTGAAGCAGCCTGTTTCAATTAAGCAGTTTACACTGTGTTTCATTCTCAAAACCCAAGCCATTCAAACCAAATTCCTCATTTTTGGATATCTGTAGGAAAACCAGAGAAGTACATGAGCAAGAGTAATATGGGAGGAAGAAAATTCATATCCTGCTTCTTCCCCTCCTAGGGGAATGAAAACATTTATTTTTCACCTTTCAAGGAACTCCTTAGAACAGCAGTCTGGGAACTGGCTGGAGGTTACACATAGCAATGCCACATGCCAGGCAAACCCTACTAACAGCAACGAGGAGTACAGGCCCAGGTACTTCACCTCTCCAGTGAGCATCGTATACAGTAGCCTGGAGTCAGGCTGCTCTTACTCTGCTTTGCTGATCACTTATTTATGCGCAAAACTGACAGGTTTTCAAAGCTGCTTATGAAGAAAATCAAATGAAACCACCCCATATGAGAGTACCAAGTCAGGGAGACACTATCCACATTACCTCCAATTTGGGGAATTCAGTCCAAGAAATAGTTTTGAAACAAGAAGTGCAAAAGTAAGTACAGCAAGTTAAGTGTGAATCCCAGCATACTTCTGAACTGCCTGGGATATTGTCCAGCTATGTTCTGTGCAGAATGTTCTGACACAAGGAAGATAAGATCTTGCTGTTTTACAGCCACACACAAGGCTCTCAGAACCAAACTTGGTTCCTAGATCTTCTGTGTTGTAAAGCTTCTCACCTCACTGACACTTGGTGGCCATTTAAATCCAGCTACTGTTCCAGTCATCACTCTCTTCACTGTACTTGATTCTGGAATTGTGAGGTCCTGAGGAGACAGAAGGAGGATTAGAAAGAGATTACAACCTGGCTCAGGGGCTGGCCACAGCACGTTGATCATACGAGCACACATACAGAGTTCTGAAAGCACTACCAACGCCTTCCATTTCACGGGCCTTCCCATAGCATTCATTGTATTATCAACACAGGTGAGGTGAGGAAAATACGAACTGCCAATGAAGGAATTCAACACAGTTATGGCTTCTGGAGAGTCCATTCTTCATACCTAAGAGGAATCATTGCACTTGTGCGCTCATGCAATGAGCAGAGAAGCAAACGAACACACTTGATCCAGTATTTTCTTCTGGTGGAATGCAAAAAGCTTAGCAAATGGGTGAAGAACATCATTACAAGTAGAAGTCTAAACTCTTCTGATCCTGCCCTGTCACAAAAGAATAGCCTACCTGTTATCAGGAGAACCTTCAAAATAAAAGGCCAACAGCCACATGTGCTTAAGTCTGCAGAATCTGTGAAACAAACTGTATGTGGGCTGTCCCATCCACTCAACCGACCCTGGTTTGTAGTTCATGATAGTACTTAACACATTGAGGTTTTCACTGTTGAGCAGATTAAATTTTATCTTTTATTTCCCCAAGACATACAGGTTGAAATAGGTCACAGACATGCGCTATAGACACACAGGTCTTTATGTTACATGAAGAGAATGTGCAGGACTCCTGCACAGTATGTGCTGTCTTCCTGAAATGAGGGTGCAGAAATGGAATCCCATTATCTCCCCTCCAAAATTACTTCCTGAAAATGCAAAATATACCTTAATGTCCACACAGAAGCACAAGAGAAGAGCACTGTTTGTAAAAAAAGGTCAGAGTAAGACTCCTGGAGGTAATCCGGATCGATGCGACTGTCCAAGTGTTAGCAAGGACAACGTAGACATCAGACTGCAAACTTAAAAGTGTCTAGGCAGAGTCCTGCATACTAAAATTCTCTTAGACAGCACACTGCTGTTTCAATTGGTAAAGCAATTGAATGCCTTGATGCCTAAGAAGTTCTATTGGTCCTTTGAAAATATTCATATAAGCTTAAAAATAAGAGTATGTGGATGATCATCTATGGCTACAGAGTCTTTCTAGATAGGGCACACCTGGGCAACAACTAGATTCTTGAATTTTATGCATCCTTATTGCTTGGAAAGCCAGAATTTGGACTGTGATAGGGAAAAAAAAACCCAACTAAACAAATCCCAGCACTGTATTAATTCAGGACAACGACATTAATGTTTTCGACCCTAAGGGTAAAGAATGTGGGGAACTTATGAGAACCAGGCAAGAAGACAAGATTTTAAAATTTTTAAATTGTCATAGGCTGAAAAGCAGTATTAAGGTAGCACTGTTATATTTTCATGGCAATTTCTTTAATTGTCACTTCCCAGAAGCTATAAGGCTTACTTTCCTACCTTACCCTGCTTATTTTCCCTGTCTGTGGCCAGGCACTTATCACACAGCTGGCCACCCCTTTGTGGTAAGTTTAAAACCTCTCCACTGCCATGTGCCAGTAAAATAATGCCTACTACAACTCTCTCAAAGCACTCCGAAGGCCTGAGGTAGCTAACACAGTAAAACCTAGGCATACATTGTGTCAGCACAACCAGAATTCTCCCAGCCATTAGTTTTGATGGATTTTGGAATGAAGCTAGCTCAAAGACACAGCAGCACTTTGCAAGTGAAAAAAAAAGGCCCCATGGCTCATAGTAACAGAATTATGTGGAGACACAACATGCTCATAGGAAGACACTTAGAAAAGTTAAAGTTATGTCACCAGTGAAGCATTTTTCTGGATCAGTCAAGTCACAAGTTCAGTAATTATTAGTCAGAATTCACATATATGCATCCATTCCTCCTTTTCTCCAACTCCCCTCAGAAGCAGAAACTGATGGGCTCTGTTGTGCAGTCTGATTTCACAGACGCTGGCTCTAAAAAAGAGCCAGTATTTCCTTCAACTCCTTAGGAGTTGGACTAGATGATCCTTGTGTAGCCCTTCCAAACCAGGATATACTGTGACTCTATTCTATGATTCCTTCACAGCTAATATCCGAGATGATCAGCTTCATTTTATCACATCAAGAAAGAGTTTGCTGTTCAATCAGCAAAGGCAAATCCATTCATAGTTCTGGAGAGCCAAGACCACAATCTTGACTTGCATCCTGACGTGCACCGAAGGCAAAGACTGTGAAGCACAATGTGATCCCTCTGAAGCAGGTGAGCAAGCAGGCTGCTGCATGGTGTATCAGCTGAAGTCTCCCAGTCATCTTCAGGTGTAGTCTCTGATGGAGCATATGCCTCATAATAATCCACCAAAATAAATATCCATTTGGAAAAGGAAGATCTAGACCATAACCACGAGTTCCACAAAAAAAAAAGGCTAGAACTCTAGATGAGGGTAGACAAAGCATTGGTTGCTATCACTGCTGGTACAGCATCCAGAAGTATCAGGGAAGTAATGGGGATAAAATAATAATGCTCCAAGGTCAGACCTTTATAATGGAGGATGGAAACATACCCTGTAGCACAGAAGCTGAAATGAATACATTTAATTCTTCTGGTGGATTTCCCAGGCTACAAGTTTCTTCTTTAAGCTCTACCCCCTAAGAATACTTCAGCCTCTGTAAGTCCTGAGGGTGAAATGGACCAACTACCAATCACCTGATCATAGGAAACAGATGAGATGGGAGAAGTCAAGAATCAGATGAAGACCCATATCTCTTCACTAATCCTTACCACACAAACTGAACTCAAAGAATGGCAAGATGAAAAGTCTCATGATACAGCTTTCAAGGCCCTCTCAAAGACCCACTCACAGTAACTAATGGGTAAAAATCACAGGAAGAATCAACAATGTGCTTGCCAAAGGTATCAGGCAGTCAAATGTTCTAGGAGGAGCAATATGGAACAGTGTAAAAAAAAAAAGGGATACTGAACTGACTCTTCCTGCTGGCCTGTTAGTCAAGGTGCCAGTCAGCCCTCAAGTCCAGCTGCCAAGTCCACAGGCACTGGCGGACATGCACAACACAAACCTTCTCATCCTTGGGCGGACGCCCCCGCTTTCGGGGGCTCTGATCCTGGGCTCTTTTCAAGGGTGACTTTGATCCTCTCTCTGATGAGACAGAAGAGACCCTCTTTTTTCCTTCCCCTGTGCCCTTCTTCACCTTTCCTTCAGACAAACTGGCCTTGCGTTTCTCTTCACCAGCGGATTGCTTGCCTCTTTCTTCACTGGAATTACGCCGATTCTTCTCTTCAGTGGAGTTATGGGAAGACGCCTGAGAGATTACAGAATAGAAGATGGTAAGGAAAGAAGAGAAGAGATGGAATGATTTTCATGCAAAACCAAGGATGTGAAGGACCCTGTGCTGATTACTATCAAGCAAAACAACAGCACAGTGACTTGAAAACTAGATCTCTCTTAGTCCTTTGGAATCAGTGAGTGAAGTTCCTGGTTAGTTCTCCTGCAAAAACACATCAGTTTAAGCAAGCACGTAACAGAACAGGTCACCTGTAGACTTACTGGCAGTGTGCGCACTTCCAACACACTGAAAACAAGATTAGTAGATATCAAATTCTATTCCAAGACTTAAGACTGATTTACCACGAGCAAATCAATTAGCCACTTCAGTTGCTCCAGCAGTTTAACAAAACATTTTTCCCCACCAAACAAGATTAAATGAGGAAGAAGAGAGGATAAGAAATAAACCCGAAAACCAAAGGAAGGAAAACAAAACCACTCTCAACTTGCCAGAGGCAACAAACTTCTTTCACATAAAAACGCATCTAACCATTGTTCATGCCAAGACCTACTTTGATGCATACAGTGAAAAAGAACCCACTCACCTGGTCCTTGCCTTTGGTTTTTCTAAGAAACTCCTCTACAGCATCCACAGCTTGCTGGAAGCGCTTACCCTTATTAATCTTGATCATTTCCTCTTTGTGAGCGTGATAAGGCTTCAGCTGTTCCACTTTGATCCAAGCACTTGAAACAAAAAAAGAATTTAGTTATATTCTCCAAACAGCAGCTTTCACAATCATCCCACTTTCAGAAACACATAGATACACTTTCTTTCCCCAGAACCACTGATGACAGCAGCCCAAACTCGCTTGCTATCTTACAACCTCAGAGGTTGCTATTTCTGCATTCACTGAGAACTTTCTTCTGGCACTTTAACTTTGTTTCTTTTTAAGTTTTATCTCCTCTCATTCTAGCCGTGCCCCACTCTAAACATCAGTCATATTCTCTATCAGCAAGACAACTTTTGGATGTGATCACAGGCCATGTTTAGAACAATGGTAGCCCAGTGACTGCTCTTGTTTCACCAGGAGGAACACCCACACTCCCACACCTCCATGTGAAGTAGCCATGAATAACATGAATCTGCTCCAGGAGTTGTTGAAAGCAAAGTCTACATAACAATTCTCGGCCATCAATCCCTGGCTAAAATATACTGTGCACAAAAGTGTCTAAAAAGGTGTAGGAAAAAGTCCCTCAAAATTCTGCATTTCACAATAGGGCTGACCACAAACAAAATGAGTTGCAAAAGCCACATCTCATCGCTGAACATATCTCTGATGTACCCTGATACTCTGCATGAAAGCAATGTTCTTGTTTTTGAGGAAAAAGAACTGTTTTCTTCACTGTTGATATTTTAAGATAAACTGATTGGTACGGTAGCAGAGTATTAACCTGACTGGAGTCCTGTGAGGAAAATCAAATTATTTCCCTGTTTCCACTCCTGCTAAATACAAATTCTTGACGTTTACCAAATGGTTAAGTTGTCAAGTACAGGGTGGCAACTCCACTTTCCTTTAGGAAAACAAGCACTTCGACCACTCTTTTACTTCAGCTTAGGGGAATGTCTTTGCTTCCCTTGATGCCTGAATCCCTTATGACTTTCAGAGATTAAATCAACCTTTCTCCCTCTCCAGGTTCAAGCCTAGGCTTATCAGCCACACTGTTACAAAGCTATTTCCATCCTACCGAAAACAGAACTGTTTAAGTTTTAAAAACCTTTTCCTGAGCTAGGATGGCCACCACAGCTTCTTAGCACACAGAAAAAATGGGGCAATCAGATTTTCTCTCATCCCCAGACATCCCTATGTTACATTGACTAGCCACGATTACAGGTTTTAAGTATTCTCCAGTGCAGTCCTGCTCCTGCTAGAAGTGAAGTGATTTAATAGCTGCTGTTTCAGACACTGTAAGCGCCATGTCATACAGTTAAAGCAAACATGAAGGTGAAAATGGTAAATAATAATAATAGTAATATTTTGCATTAGCCACCCTTTGTAGTCAGGAATCAGCTTGCCTATAGTAAACAAAATTTTTGGGTCTCATTTGCAGAGAGGAGACCTCCTACTAGAACTGACTGGAAAATGCCAGCACTCTTTCCACAGAACCCAGTTTTCCTGCATGCAAAGCTGAATCCTTTCACTCACTTTACATCGTCTTCATAAGAACTGACATAATGTAATACAAGTCAAATCATTCCATTCCAGACTAGACTCAGGGAATCCCTCCCAGCTGCCCAGACATCACTGTGAAAGACAATTTAAAATTCCCTCCCACTGTAAAGCCTGCCTGTGTGACACACAGGGACAAACACCCCTAGATACCACACAGCATCAGCTCATGAGAAGCCTTTCATTACGTATAAAAAGGAAACAAAATTCTGGAGCACATTATAAAACAAAAAAGCGTGTTAAATGTTGCTGCAAGATTAAATTTCTAAACAAAAATAACTTCTTTCTTTCAAGGCATTCTCTTAGGTTTCTGCTCATCCTATCCCTCCTCACTGCACATGTTCACTGGTTTCCTTTCTCGTTCCTTTTCCTTTTGATCTGGAGAAAGCCTGAAGCGCAAAGCTTTTTGGTTCCATTCTTCGAAGGTGCATTTTGGTACTTGTGATCCACTAGGACAAAGAATTAGAAAGCTCAAACTAGTAAGTGAAAAACAATCTTAATTCTTGCCTCAATTAAAAATAAATTTTAAAAAAAAAAAAAAATCAGTCTTTTCCTTTCCAGTTTATTCTTTGTGCATCACCTACCTGGACAACCTCCTATAAGAGATGAATGTGTCTTTGGACATCAGATATCCATAAAGCAATTACATGCAGTGTTTCAAACACTTGAAAACAAAAGAACTTTTCACCAAACAAAATCATTCATGTTTATACACAAGATCTCAGTACCCTCAAGGCCAATGAAGGCCAATATTTAGATAAGAGACCTCAAGGATACTACACATAAAAGGAGCTACTATGTCTCTCCTGACTCAGCAATGAATCAATACCTGAGAAAAAACATTAGTGACATCTCTGAAGATGTCATATTTAAGATGAAATTGTGTTCATACCGCTGCACAGTCACCAGGTATCTGTACAGAATGGGCTACATGGAAAGTGAAAAGATCTAATGAAGATACCCATTAGCAATGGGTTTCTCTATTCATTTCTCCACGCTGTTCCTCATCCTCTCCAAAATATCACTCTTACAAAAACACTACACATGTAAATATGAACAAAATCAAGACTTAGAATAAGAAGAGGCAAGTATGACTGTGACCTGGAGCTGCACAGAAACAGTGATACAGAGATATCAGCACAGACATGGAGACATTAAAAACCTCATCGTTCCAGTCACTCTCTTCCTGTCTAAAGATACCAACTCCTAATGATAAACTGGAGAAATGAGATGGAGGAATACCCACCAATACTCCCTTTTTGCAAATCTTATAGTTAGGGCTGGAAAACAGTGGCACTGTATCTCCAAATTTCTATTACTTACAACAGTCCGGGGAAAAATTCATCACTTTAGACTGTAACACTTTAAATGCCCACACTAAATGCTAACACAACCAGTTCTGAAAGTCAAAAGAAAATTGCTTGATTATTTACAAGCCCAGTGTGTGAGCACACAAGACGAATTAAGATCGGTTTCCTTCTGTTAAAAGAAAATATCCCAACCTTCATCAGTAAAATAATTCAAATAACTGAACTCTGGAATTTTATATGTAAACTTCTAGAAAAAAAACCACAAAAAAACGACTAAATAAGAATAAAAGAGAGGTTATTTAGCAGAAGAAAACAAGAAGGAGGGCAATACTGAAAGAAATTAAGTATTATATTTTTCAAATTTGTGCAATAAAATACCTCCTCGGTAAGGGGCAGAAGTGTTTCCTGATGTCAGGACCAGAAAGAACATTTTAGAAGGACTACATCCTGAAATTTCTCTCTCCTTCAAAACCAGGGAGAAGAGTGGCAGAAGAAAAGGGTAGGTGTTTGCATCCCAAGAGGACATGGAGGATGGGAAGGCAACGAGTGCTGTGCTAAAAATCACTGCGCTTGATGGAAAAAGGCTGCGGATCACTACACTTATCTTGGATTGCAAGTTTCCTCCATTTTTGTCTTGATATATTAAGTCAGGAAGTGCCCCTTGACCTCACCACATTTAGTTTTGCACTGATGCTTCAAAAAGGTTGTGAGTTGGGGTGCTCCAACTTCCTGTTAAGACTTTGATATACGGACTTGCAAGTCCATTTGGTTGTAAGGGAATATATAAAGAGGGAGGAGGGTGGTAAGGGGAAGAGACACTCAGAAAAACAACTCCAAGGCAGACTAGAAACATCTCTTTACCAGTTTGGAGCACAAAGTAATAAAGAGACATTACATGAGTGTGTGCATCACAATTAAGGCAATTGCTTAGATCCAGACATGGATATTACATCCCTACTATGAATTTTGAGGTGGCTTTCACTGTGGTAAAGCACATGTGTATTTACTTCAGTTTAATCACAAGGAAAATCTGCTTCCATGGGTAGAGAACCCTTACCTTCCAGAAAAACTTTACTTTGAAAGTCACAGAAGCAACTAACACCACCAACATAACAAGCATATGGAGCACAGAGCTCAGCAGAAAATTTATCAATAGCCAGGACTTGGAGCACAGTCTGAATGCACTCATGCTCTCACTTGTGTGTCTTGGGCCAAAACTACTCACAGCCTTCCAGTTAATCTACTCTCCTAAGTCACTGAAGCACTGCACTGGGCCAGTACATCCCAGTATTCTATCTGCAGGAGAAGGAAAACACATTTCCTCTATGTTGTATCCTAAACTGGCAAGAATGTCACAAATAACCAAAACCGGTACACTACACAAAAACCACTACCAAACTCATCAGTATGTTTTTATTCACCCCTCTGCTCTGCTCACAAACATGCACCCCCATTTTTACTTCCAAACAGCTCACATTTTAAGCAAAATCATTTAAATTTCTCCTGATTTGGTTTGTTGATTATGTTCAAACATGAAGATTTTCTCAAGCAGCACACTGGTTAGAACACTACAGTTCTAACCAGCACAGCCTTTTGAAGTTCCAAGTCAGGACAGAAAAGGCACAGAAGCTTCTCTCTCTTCTGTCTATCAACATTATTTTAAAAGAAAAGGGGTGGCGTTTATTTCTATTTAATTTTCAGGTAGGGTATACCAGTCAAAGCAAGCAAATTTCTAATTCATGATTATCTAGCAGGAAATGATTAAATATCACAAGCTGGAGATGGGGGGAGGGGGTGACACTACAACAACCACACTACCTTACCGTGCCAGATGACTGGATTTGCCCCAGCCAGAGCTCTAGAATCCTGTAATAAATCCTGATTATTTTGCAGCTCTGAACTCTTCATTTGCAATCACGTTGTCAGTCTCAGCTACAGTACCCCAGACATTTGACCACTTTTCCCAAACTTGTCTTAATACAAAAAAAAAAAAAAATCTGTATTTGATTCAATAATGTGAAATACAAGAATCAAGAACAATCAGGACAGAAACAGTCTATCTCCTCAACTTTCAGAACTTACTAGCTCAAACAACCATGTTTAATAACATCACTAAAAAACCTTCTCTGCCCTCAAATCAACTTTCACCTGCCTCAAGTAACTAGAGATCCAAAAGTTCCCTTTTGCACACAGCATTCACTTCTACTCCATCCAGTTTAGACCTCAGTTCTTAATGGAAAAATATTTTTAAGTATGAAGCAAAAATAATCTAGTGGTCAAAAATAATTTCCTTAAAAACGTTCATTAAATGGTCTCAGTTCTTGTTACCTTTTTTTCCAAGAAGTAAAGGATTCTCTAGTCTTCCATAGATATTTGCAATTTCCTTCTTTATCACATGACTTAATGTGAAATAGCAGAAAATAAAGAGGAAAACTGAAAAATTAGCAAAATAATTTTCAGTTTCAGGCTTTTTTTGTTGTTTTTTTCTCCCTAGTTTGCAATTATTTAAGACAACTACGATTTTGTACACATTTGAACTCAATAAACTCTGCCTTGCAAAAAGGAAGTCTACAACAGTTTTGGCTTTCCTGTACTGTAAAGACTTCCCCAAGAACAGCAAGAATGTTTTTGGTTACCAGGTAGGACAGTATATTCTTTCACAAATGGCAATTATACAGTTAATTTTATTCCTCTGGCAGAAAAAAAAAAGCATACTTGGACCTGTACCTTTCTCATACATGGTTACATGCTAAAATCTAACCCAGTCACATCACATTTACTCCCCTAAAAATGGCAAGCTACCAAGGACTTGCCCTCACAGCAGCAACTCAAATCCTAACCCGACTATGTAAGTCTTTTCAGTCTTCATACACCCCCATGAGCAGCTGTAGCATGCAATAATAGTTGAATGTTTTTTTCTGTGTGGTTCAAAGATAATCCTTTAAGAAGTTACATTGCACTGTGTTAATAAATAGTTCTTCTACAAAAGATCCACTTAATAGTGTTTTCCCCTGATGAAAACAAGCAGGTACATACTGATCTTCTGTTCCAAAAAACTTCACAAAGAAGCACTTTTTTCCACGAGGTTTCTTCAGATCTTTAGGTGGATTAACAATCTGAAGGTGATTAGAAGTGAAAGTTAAAAAGCACATAATGATAGATTTATACTCTGTGATTTTACTGTCCTGTCTTACAGCTATTGCAGATTTTTTTTTTTTAATCTGACTAGGAAGAGAACTGGAATCTGCTATAAGTTTTTCAAGTAAATATGTAACTCAAGTATTTCCTTGGACATGGGAATGCTGCAGCAGAGTGAAAAAGTACCCAAACTGCATTCCGAGTGGGGTTTTCTACTCCCCAGCCCCAATAGATAAGCTGGCCACCTTTTGTAAAATTAAAGACAAAGGCACGAATAAAAGTTTGCTCCACTCACGTAACCTTTGAAATTTAAATTTAAACTTTGTCTTTACTCCCAGAATACATTGCTTATCAAGTTTAAAATATTAGTAAGGAGAAAAGCTGTCATTCAGTTACACAGATGACACCTGTAAAGGAATCTGGTGTTAACTTGATCCAGTAACCAAACTTTTATGATTGCCAGCCAAATTGACAAGCTTTTTCCCAGACTCATGCTGTTATCTCAGCATGCTTAGCCCTCACACTGACACCAAAAATGTAAGAAAGTTCTTTCAGAGAAGTAGAAATAATAGAAATGGCACATAAAATTCAATTATTTTTAATCTTTCACCAGAAAAAAAAACAGCTTAACCAAAAGAGAAAGTTTAACTACTCACTACCCCCAGAATTAGTACTCAAAAATCATAGCTCTAACAGTATCTTGAGAAGCCAGACTCCTAATTTCTATTATTAAACACAGTATAGTTAACCAACTTACTATGGAAGGAAAAAAAACCTTTCTGTCTTACAGAAAGTGACAGGGATTAAATAACTAAATCTGGGAAACACAATCAGTTCCAGAGCTCCAGAGCTGGCTCTCTGTCGCTTTTTATTCCATCTGAATTACCAGCTGTTAGTGACAGGTTGAACTTCTAGATCAAATAAGGCCTGGTTCAAAGTTTAGATTTGTGGGGTGTGTGATTAAAAAACAAATAAATAAGAAAACCAGCATTAATCAACAACTGAAATGCCTTCAGGCAAAGTTTTCCCTACACAGAAGGAAAATGCAAAAGCAAGCAAACAAATAAAAACCACCAAAAACAAAGAAAGCAACAATAAAAGCAAACAAACCTCACCTTTCCTGGCCATGGAGGATAACGACCCAGCTTCCCCCTAGATAAAAAAGAAAGTATTAGGCACTAGAACTAGACAAAAAACCTATTCCAGTATCTGCCTTTTCACATTATCTCACACTTTATATATTAGGAGAGTTACAACTTGCAGTCAAAACCTTCTGTGCAAGGCAGGACACAAGACTGACATATGCACCTAATGCAGGCTCTGAACAGTCTGACCTCGCTGCACTGTCAGAACTGAAGAAAAGAGCAGCAGCACAGCTGCTGCCTGCAACACACAAGAGTAACAGGAACTGTAGCACTCTAAGAGTGGAGATTCCTTCACAAGGAGCTGGATAAAAGCACTGATGCATGCAGTCAGAGCAAAGTTCAGGTTGGGAACGTCTATCCACCTGTCCAGAGCAGTCTGTGAGCAGAGCAGCCATCGACTCCCAGCTCAGAGAGCTGAGGTTCTGCGTTCTCACAGGATTCTCCCAGCAGGTGTTCCACTACCACCACAGTGACACGTGCTAAAGATATGAAGAGCCATTAAAAAAAGGCACAAAAGTTTCCTTCCTACATTTGCAAAGGTCTCCATTACGAAAACTAGACAACACTAGAAATACTTACAGAGAAGGAAGATACACCAGTCTTAGCCCTTAGCATGGCAGCTTTATCCTCATTTCACCCTTGTCACTAACTCAGGCTGCAGTGTTCACAAAACCTCGTCAATCATTGTCTTGCAAGAGACTGGCAAAGAACCTGTGGGGCCCTGACACAAAACCTCTCAGACAGTGGCACAGCAGCCCCTCAAGATGGACTCAGCAACCACAGGCAGGCAGGAACGCTGCCAGGAACTGTGATCATGTCTCACACACGCTTGTACCAAATGAGACATCCAGCAAACCCTTTCTGCTGCTGCTGTCTGATTGTTAAAGTTCCCTGTGACAGCTCCAGGGACAGCAGTCACTCCCCAAATTCTCATCTGAAAAAAGGAGATTTGCTAAAAGTAAGCAATCTTTACTTACTTTGCCATATAAATTAGACAACTTCCCAGCACTGCCAATTTTTCAGATGAGAAGCTGCAGTTGTCACAGCCTGGAGCAGGCACTTCTTTTTATCTGGGATATAAATACAGATGCATGCACTTGTGTGTTGGGAATTAACTACTTCTTGGAGCCCTGGCAGGACAACCTGGCCCATTCAGCACAGCAGAGCCACTTAATCATGGAATGCCCTCAGGTCTCCCAACCAGGAAACAAAAAGATCACAGATCTGACTGTCTGAGGGTAAGATCGGAGTGAAAAGGGGAAATGGCTTCCGGGGATTCCCACGGGGACACCCCAACCTACAAAGAAACGCTGTTTTCCAGGATATTGTTGTGTTGGTTCATTAAAGCACTGCCAAAAAACGGTGTCATGGCTCTCCCGAAACACCTCCTGACTAACCCCTGTTCCTTCTCGCCTCCCTTGGGAGGTGAGCCCGTGCTTCCGACCGAGCCTCGCAGCGCTCGCCCCTCCGTTCCGCTCCCCTCACCCTTCTATCCTACACAGCTTCCTTCCTCCATGCGACACCCCCGGCAGCCTTCGGCGCTGGCCCAGCCCAGTCCGGTGTTCCCGGGCCGCCTCCCGCCGCCCCCCTCACACCGCCCGCGGGACGGCGCCGGCGACACCCGGGGCCCCGCAGCGGCCCCACCGCTCTGCCCTGCCCAGCCCCGCCCTGTCCGCAGCCGCTCCCCGGAGTCCCCCACGGCGCCGGGCTGACGGCGCCCGGCGCGCCCGGCCCGACCCAGCTCCGGCCGCGCCGCTCTCCGGGCCGGGCACAGCCCCGTCGCCGCCCCGCCTGCGTCTCCTCCGCCGCCGCAGCCGCAGCCTCATTCCGCGAGAGGCGCTCAGCCCGCCACGCTCCGGCGCTCGCCCGCGGGCCCGCCCGGGGCGCGCCGCCACTCACCACACCAGGTCTCCGAGCCTCAGACTCACGGCCGCCATCTTACCGACACCGCCGGGCCGCGCGGGTGCTGCCGGGACCGGGGGCCGCGCCCATGGGGCGGGGCCGTCACGTGGGGGGGCGGGGCCGTCACGTGGGCGGGCGGGCGGGCCGTCACGTTGGAGGGCGAGCTGTCACGTGGGCGGGCGGGTGTCAGTGGCGGCCCCTCTCCAGCGTGACGGCGGCGGCATCGCGCACTGCGGGCCGGGGCGGGGCCTAACTCAGCCCCGCCTAACTCAAATTAGGCGGGGCCTAATTTGGCTCCTCCCAGGAGGCGGAGCTTGCCCGGCTCTTCCCTCCTCCGTCGGCCCAGAGCCCGGAGTGCGGCGCGGGAGCTAACGTTACCGATCCGGATCCCGATCCCGAAAAGCGGCAGAAACAAACTTCTTAACACCGATTCGTAGATGTTGAAAAGGGCATTCTTCTTTATTCAGCGCACTGGACGTTCGGAAGATAGCCCCTCTAATCGAACGCGCCAAATGGCAGATGGACAGGACTTTTTATTACACGTACTGTTTGCATATTCATTAGATATTCTCGTTTACTTAATACGTATTTATTAGTTTGCTTTACATGGTCCCACCCCTATTGGAAGTCCTTCTTTGGTCTTTCCGGGTCGTCTTCGTCATCTTGACCCCGGTTCTTGAGCAGGCACAGCGTCGTTGTGCTTTGCCAGCAAACGCTATAACGTTTGTTCTTTATTTTATCTGGGTACACGGAGCTTAGTTTACATCCTGTTTGTTTGCATCTCTTATCGAATTCTCAGGGACTTCTCTAAGATTGTATTGTTCCTTATGTGGGCATTCCGGGATACCGTGAGTAAAGTTCCTATTTCTTTGACAGGAGAATTCGCCTTGAGGAGCAATAACCGGAGGGTTCCACTGCCACCCCTCGTGGGGATTGGCACCAGGGGCATCTGTGCCCCGCACCCATATTGCCCGCTGACCCCTGGAGGGCCACTCCAGGAGATGGCGGGTTTGGAATATGGTTTGTGCTCGCTCTCCTGTGGGAGCAGTGGGAAACGCCGTCTGTGGTCGACTGTGGTGGAGCTGCATCGGTTTTCCTGGATGACTTGCTGTGTGTTGTGGTGGTGGCTTTTCTTTCTGTCCACCTAAGTAAGCCAATTTCGCATTTTTTCCAAGCATTCTTGCTGCCTCTTCTGCCCTGTGCACCCACAGAAACCTGAGTTGGTAGGTGCCTCAGAGGGGCCTTAAAGAGCTTGATCCCTGTGCTGCACAGCCCTGGGTGCAAGCTCCCCACTCTCCACCCTGTAATGAGTGGTTTAACTGCTCTGCTTTTCCCCCCAAATCTGGGTGGATTGAGGACAAGTATTTTAAGTGGTGTTTCTCAACTTAATCAGGGGCATCCTGCTTGTTCCTACCCCCCTGTACTTTTTTAAGAGCTGCACCATGTTAGTCTTATTTTAAGAGCATTAACTGCCTTTTAAATGTGTGTTTTACTTGTTTTGTGTATAGCACATGTGCACACACCCCTTTATCTCCACACACTGATCTTGGCTGTTGGCAAAACCCGCTTCATATCCCAATGCCTTCAATAAAGGACTCTGCAGCAATGCTGGAGTTGGTGTGGTTCCTTTAAGATATGATATGAGTTTAAAAAGAAAAAATAAAACTCTGCTGTCAGATTTAATTTACCAGGGGCTGATATAGCTGGACCCATGCAGTTTCTACTCCTTAACTCTGCTCCTTAAACTCCAGTCATTAAAAGTGCAGCCAGAGCAGTCCTTGCTCGGGGGACTTTTCTCATCCCAGGAATGGAGTTCCAAGCCTGAATGCTGCTCACAGCCCAGCCCCTGACTCTGACTGATGCCAAAAAATTGGAGAAGAAACTCTATAGGCTCATTTTGAGTATAGAAAGCCAAAAAAGCACACACGTTTATTTCAGTGCTGGCTGCGTCAGAAAAAAATTCCTAAGGGTGCACCCTGAACCACACAGTTTTCATAACTTTATATGACTCTCTAATTACACATTCAAGGATTACCTCACCTGTTCCACCCCATTTTCCACCCACCGTACGCCCCCCTGGAATTGCTTCAGAGGTCATAAAGTGACCCCTGGTGCCAGGCATCAACGTCTTTCTTGCTACGTTCTTCTCTTGACTCCTAGATTTCCTGCCTACTGGAACTGGCTCAAGGCCTTAACCCAGTCTCGTGGATCTGTTTTGTCTTCTTTCTCGCATTTTATCCGTCCCTTCACAGGTGCAAGAACCATCTCTGTTTTTATCACAATTCTTGCTTGTAAAGAATCAAGTAACTGTGTCCAGTTCTGAGCCCCTCAATTTAGGAAGGACACTCAGGTGCTGGAGCAGGTCCAAAGAAGGGCAACAAGGCTGATGAGGGGACTGGAGCACAAGTCCTATGAGGAGAGGCTGAGGGAGTTGGAGTTGTTCAGCCTGGAGCAGAAGAGGCTCAGGGAGACCTTGTTGCTCTCTACAACTCCCTGGCAGGAAAGTGGAGCCAGGTGGGCATCAGTTTCTTCTCCCAGGCAACCAGCAGTAGGACAAGAAGGCGTAGTCCAGGGGAGATTTAGGTTGAACATTAGGAAGAAATTTTTTACAGAGAGAGTGATCAGACATTGGAATGGGCTGCCAAGGGAAGTGGTGAATTCACCGTCTCTGGAGGTTTTTAAGATGAGACTGGATGTGGCACTTAGTGCCATGGTCTAGTAGGCAAGGTGGTGTTGGGTCAAAGGTTGGACTTGATGATCTCAGAGGTCTTTTCCAATCCCTTTGATTCTGTGATTCACAAAAAACTATAAACTATGCACTTTCCCTTGAGAACTTCCAACCTTACTAAAACACATGAGTTCTACGGCTAGCACCCTCCTTTTAAAATGCTTAGTCTAAGACACGTAAATTCTATGGCTATCAGTTTCTAATAATTAAGTATTCTTAATTTTACTGCTATACGACCTTGGGCACAACCTCAACGTTGCCTTAATCTTCCCAAACCCTGATTTTACCCAGGCTGTTGAACGTTCCTGACCTAGTAGCTGGATCTCCTCAAAATCAGATTTTTTTTCTATCCCAAACGCTGTTTCGGATACACATCTCAAACAGCCAAGCCAGGCTCCCCTCGGCCCCACCCGGCCCCTCTCGGCTCCTCTCGGCCGCGCCCGGCTCTGCCCGGCCCCTCTCGGCTACCCTCGGCCCCGCCCGGCTCCCGTCTCGGCCCCGCCCGGCTCTGCCCGGCCCCGCCCGGCTCCTTTCGGCCTCGCTCGGACCCGCTCCCTCAGGCGCCGCCATGGCCCGCAAGAAGCTGCATCGGCCCATTGCCGCCATGGCCAAGAAGATCCGCGAGTACCGCGCGCTGAAGGAGCGCCCGCGGGACTCTCAGCGCTTCGCCCTGGACTACGAGACCATGCGGCGGCCGCTGACGCAGAAGCGGCTGCCGGTGCGGGCCTGGGAGGACGTGCGGAACGAGAACCGGCTTTTCGCGCTGCTCTGCCGCCTGCCACGCTTCGGCGTGGGCCGCACCGTCACCCGCAAGTCCTGGCTGTGGGCGCACGACGAGCCCTGCTACTGGGTCATCACCAAGGTGAAGGCGGACTACACGGCCGAGGTACCCGCCCTGCCCCATCCCCACCCCCCCGGGACCCCCGCCCCCCGCGCCCTGCCCTCAGCGCGATCCGCTTTTCTTTGCAGAACATGGACCATGGAAGAGCCTGGGGCTACCTGACCTTCAGAGGTGAGACCGGCTCGTTTTCCCACCCACGTGGAGAGCACCGGGAGGGCGGCAGGAAAAACGGCGGCCTCTCCCAGCCTGGGGAATTTGTGGTTTTTTTCAGATCTGCTAATGGGAAAAGAAGTTCCCCCTTGTTTAAGTTTCAAAAGCTGGGATCTAGCTCCCTCGGAGTGTCTTTCTGAGGACTGCTGTGGGAGACCCAGCGCAAGATGGCCCTGGAGAACAGCAGCACTAACAGTGCTAGATGAGCTGACAGACTGTTCTGAGGCTTTGAAAGCAAGACACAGAATGAGCACGTGGGGGTGGTCCGGGTAAACCTGTCACTAAAAAGCTGCAGTGGCAAGCAGCTTATGTTACTGGAATTTTTAATTAATGCTTGGAATTGAATGAGTGGATTTCCCTTTTTAGAGCTGCTTTATATTAGGTATACAATTGACTCTTACAAGAGTTACTGAAATAGTTCTCATTCAAAGGTTTTGAAGTTGTTGGGCAATTTTAACACTCGATTTTCCAGATAACTTTCATCAGTGTAGAGAGAAATTACTCTTGTTCCTTAGCCATGGAAACGGAACCTGAGAGAGATGAAATGACACTTTAAATTAAGAGAGGGAGTCAGCCATAGTACTGAAGCAACTTGCCTGCAGTCCTTTCAGCCAGTTTCTGTTTTGATTTCCAATGACAGAAGCGAGATCCCATAGTATAGCAGGGGAGATCCTGTCCAACCCTTTGAAAACTCCATTTACTCTTACTGTTGTAGCATTTTGGGTGCCGAAGAGTTGACACTTGCTGTGTTTCCTGGAAGGAGTTTGTTGTGACGGTGTTGCCCACTGGTGTTCCTCATCTTTTCCCAGGCAAAACTGAAGAGGAAGTGAGAGAGATTGACAAAGTCATGTACCATGACTGGCGTATGGTGCCCAAGCACGAGGAGGAGGCCTTCAAGAAATTCACCCCAGTGCCTGAGGAGACTGTTCGGTTCCTGCCGTACCCGCCGCTGCTCCGAGCCATGATCCTTGCCCAGTGGCAGAAGGAGGGAAAACCAATCACAGAGGAACCAGTTATTGATCTGCAGAAGGTCCTGGCCACTCCCCGAGAACGGGCAAAGAAAAAAGCTACAGGGATACCTGTATAAAGACTTGTTCTGTGTCCCGAGCTTCTTACATGCCTCTCACTGCCTGTTAGAAGCCCAGAGACCCCTGTGCCCACCATGGTAGGGTGTAGCCAGGTTCCCTGGCTTTCTCCCCAGCCCTGTACAGTCACCTCATCTCAAAGGGAAGATGCAGATATATTCAGACTCCTTTTCCGTAACATTGGTCTCAGTCAGCAGAGGAACCTTCTTGGTTCCCTGAGTAGTCTCTGAGTACACAACTCCTGTCAGCCAGCTGCAATTCTTTGGAGCATAATTTTCTTTATAGCCTGAAAATTAATCTTTTGACAACATTTTTTAGATAATTTGGGTCCTGCATGAATCACAGGGAAATGACTAATAATATCACAGTTTTCACAGAGCTGTGAAGAAATGTATCTGCAAATGAAAATAAATGTTGTCTTAATTCTGCAGCACAGTTCTAAGAAAACTTGGGAATTTTTTTCAATGCCTGGAGATTATCATCTGCAGAGCCATTAGCGTACCAAACACAGGCACAGCATCAGGTTCTCTGAACACTGCAGAATGATCTGGTTCGCTTTGGATGGCAGTGCACATGAGGAGCACAGTTGGATAGTAAGCTAATCCAAGGCTATCCATCCATAGCTACTCCAGAGATGGCTGTCGAGAGATAGGAGAAATTATTTTAGTTTTGGTGATGCAAAGGATGCAAGATTGACTTTTACCATTTGAATCAGCCAATCACAAATGACTCCTGTTTAAGGGCAGTACGTTGTGAACATTAAAACGTGCAGCTCCTGAGCACAGTTCCTGGCAGTTCATCTCTTGCTGGCTGTGGATGCTGCTGCTGTGTCAGGGGTTGTTGGAGGGTCTGGTCTGGATGTGGATGGATGGGGCACAGGAGCTGTTCCGGTCTGTAGATCAGCTGCCTGCACAGAAGTAATTGTTTAGTTTCTGTGTCTGCTGTAGCAGATAGTCAGGAAGTGGTGTTCCATTTGCTGCAGCATCCCAAAATCACAATTAGCCTGAGGGGTTTTGGAGAGGGAGAGCACAAACTGGACTCTGCTCCACCCAGTGTGCCCTGGATGGGACTGGGGAATGTGTGGCCCCAGCCAGCAGGAAATAACTGCCGTCAGGTAGGAGCACAGGATTGACATCGGTGACCTGGATTCCCACAGGGTTCCCCACCCAGAGGCTCCTGAAGGATTAAGGTGCTATGGGATAAGAGGGAAGGCTTTTCTTGTGAGTTAAAGCCAGTCCTGTGACAAGATGTAGAAGCTGGGAAGAGCCGAGTCCCTGTTTGCCTGTAGTGGCAGGGCATGTGCCAGGAGTAGTTCTCTGGCTTTGGAAGGAATGGGAGAATCCAGGGAAGGGAGAATCCAGAGCAATTGCCACAGACAAAGAGTTCGAGACTGTGAGCCTTCCCACAGCTGTGGCTGAAAGGCAGCTTGGCTGGTTCTCAGAGCCTCCAGTGTCAGGCACTGTGCTGAGCTGATGGCTCCCTGTCCTCACCAGGCTGGAGGTGCTACTGAACTGACACACAAACTGAGGATGAGCAAGGAGGGAGAGAGTTGTGGGTGTGAGTTAGATGGTATGAGTAGAACAGTCTAGTCCTCTCTACTGCACAGCTGGGATCTGAACAGAACCCTAGAACAGGCTCCCCCTGAGGGAGCACAGGCCCACAGAGTCTGCCCACAGTGGGCAGAGCCAAGTCTGGTCGCAGCATCCCCCAGCAGCCCCAGACAAGGCAAGAAGTAGCCATGACCAGGGTATACCAGGGAGTGCAGCCAGGATCAAAAGCAGATAGAGCTGATAACACCATAAGGCGTAGAGGCATCCAACAGTTTGGGTGGGGAGGGACCTCTGAAGATGATCTAGTTGAGCCCCTCCAAGTCCAAGGGGTCCATCCAGGAACAGCTAGGGACAGTCACAGCTACAGGCATATTGAAGGCCCCAGTTCATGTTTAAATGAGGCTCCTGGGCCACAGGAGGAAAGGGCCTCTGTTACAGCTGGCCATCTAGGTGGTGCTGATCAGGACAGTCATGTCCTGCTGGTGACCTTAACACCTGGGGGAAGGGTGTCGTCTCACAGAACCCTGCGCAGCCTGAGAGCCTTGCCCAATGGTGAACGTCCCTTCCAGGAAGCTGCACAGCCCATTTGCCACTGGTTGGATTCCACGTCCAGAACATGCTGTGAGCTTTGCTGGCCCTCCCAAACCTGTACAGTTACCTCACATTTACCAGTATGGGGGGGAGTTGTCTGAGGGATGATGGCAGTGACCTGCTTCCTCACCCACCCTGGTGAGTACCAGACATGTCTGCACTTCACCTAGAGCCCTGCTCAAACTGCTCCTGGTCTTATTCAAGGGTGCAGCCCCAGGAGTGCAGGACTGGTCCCAGCACCTGTTTCCAAACTTTGTGGTTGAGATGCCTCCACTAATGCTGGAGGCATTGCCAGTTGTACGACACCCTGGCCTGTGCTGCCCCACAGTGCAGGTGTTGGTCATGGATGAGACTCACTTCAGGGCCCCCTGCTCAGGGCAGAACATGCTCCTGTTGTAAGGAGGTGGTTCCCTTGTACACTGCCACGTACGGCCCTTGAACTAACACGGTTCTACAAAATATGGAAGTGTCCAAGTGCTGCTGGGGCTGAGGAGCTCCCTCCCCACACTGTCTGTCGCAGATGCCTAAGGGAATGTGAAATGCCACCCTGTACCATGTTGAAAGCTGACCTGATGTTAAACCTGGCGGTTCACCTGAAGGGGCCACCCTGACAGAAGCTGCATCAAGCCAGCAGATGGATGCTTCTCTGCTCTCATATTTCTGAAGTTGTTCCACCTTTAATTTCCAGCTTTTATTTCTGCCGCTGGCAGAAGCTACAGATTGCATTTGGCTTGCTGGACCAGCCCCTTCTGCTGTGACTCTGTGAGCCATCCACACCTCATTTCTTGCCACTAAACTGCTCAACAACGGTGAACACTTGAGCTGCATTCCCACCCTTTTTAAGTGTCCCACTCTTAAAAGACTGAGAAGCAATCCCAGTGCTTTCACAGGAACACAATGCACTGCCCAAGCTGATGTTAACACGTTTATTACATACAGAACAGATATGGTTTGTTGTTGATAGCATAGGGGACAAAGCATGGGAACGTATTCATACAGCAGGCTCTTTACAGAATGCCATCTTCAGACCGAACAGCGGAGTTTACAGGCCTTGAGACACTTTTAAAAATCCTTTTGTAACATACAAGATACTTTACATACATCACAGTGGAGATATGACAGGGAAGTGTGCTGAAGCCAGTCAGTTCTCACCTTGATGCCCAGCAGCCACCCAAGGCTGCAGAAGCTGCCAGCAGAGGCCGGGTCTCCCCCCTGGAGCTGCCCCTCTGGGCCATGTGCTTCTCTCAGAGGAAAACATGCACCGAGCTGGAAAGGAACCTGGTGGTAGAGGCCCCAGACTGATTTCCTCATCTTGCCAGAGCCCAGTGGGTGACAGGAGACCAAGTGCTGTCCTTTCAACTGCTCAAACCAGATACAGAACAAACAGTCAGAGGTACAAATGTTACAATTCTGATTTTCCTACAAAAGAGTTGACAGAGTGAAGGAACTGGACTTTACCAGGGCTTTTTTTTTTTTTTTCCCTTCAACTAGCCCAAATTCTGAAGTTTATCTGGCCCTAACTGATGAACTGTTACATGACAGTGGAATCTGTGCTTTAAATGTTATATTCTTAACTTCAGTGCACTCTGTGTTGGGATCCAAAGAGCTCTTCCTAGCAGAAAGCATATGGGGAAAGTGAATGAGAAGCCTGGCATGGTCAGCAGTGGCCCAGTGAAATGTCCCTGGTGAAAGGTCCCCCCACATGCAGATGGTGACTCTAGGTATCCCTTAACCCAGTGCCAGCCACAGAGCCCAGTGTGCCGATGCCTGGAAGACTCTCTCTGGCTGGATTCCTGCCTTGGGGAGGAATGGTGTGGGTGGTGTGTCACCAGCATTGCTCACAGGCAGCATGGGCACCACTGCAGCTGGCTGAGGCCTCTGTTCACCAGAGATGTTGCTTGCCTCCTTGCAGGGGCAATGTATGCCTCAGCCTTTCCTGAACTGTGGATCCAAAAGTCGTTTCAGTGCTGCTGCATCAGCAGAGATGCCACCAGTTAGAGCATCACCTGGGAACATGGCATCCCTGCAGCATAGCAGGAGCTTTAGACCACAAGCCTTGTGAACAGCCTGGTCCGTGCCAGCAAGCACAGGACACAGCTGTGAGCTTTCTGGGAGATGGAGGCTTGCCCAGCTGTCCCTATACTGTCATAAGGATGTCCCTGTGAACCCCAGAGTGCTGCACAGCTAGGGAAGAAACGAGATGACCACCAGGAGCTTCCAAATTCATCACTAACAACTGCGACTTGCCCTAGTCCTGCACATTCAGAAAGGAGTCCTCTGGGGACATGGAACTTGTCCTTGTTGGATGGGACTGTTTCTGCTGACAGAAAGGGGGAACACGGCATTGCCTCTACACCTGGAGCTGCCACATTCTGCACCTTGAGCTCAAAACCACTCTCCCTTGCCCCATATTTTTGCACATCTGCCATCGCCCAGCAGTGCTTACACAGGGAGGGCTGTCACCACTTCTCTAAGGGGCTGTCAACTTTTTTCAGGAGTCAGAAATTTCCAGCTTTTTAAACTACTTACTAGCACAGTTAATGTTAGATAAAAGATGCTGGGAAATCTGTCCTCAATTCCTTTTTCTATGTGACTTCAGGTGAGACACGGCCTTTCTGTACCTTGACTGCACATCCAGTCTTTCCTAACTGACAGCCGATCTGTTTTCCTGTGAAAACAGAGATCTCCTTCCAGCAGTTCCTGGGAAGGGGACATAGCCTTGAGTCAAGGCAATGTCAATGTGTTAATGAGAATTCACAGCAGATCACCACCCTCTGCCCTCGCATGCGCTTTAAAAGCCACCAAATGCAATGCAGAGATAACTTTCGGAACCAACTCGGAAGTTCTTTACTGCCTGGCATTTTTAGAAGGGGCAGTTAGGTGTTGCCTTTTCTGCTCTTGAAAAAGCAGTGTTCCAGTACCCCTTTGCTACCACAGCCATGTGGCCTCCACAATCAAACACCCATTTGCCATTTGAGGCCACCAAACAATCCTCTTGGGACACACACACAGGCACCCAGCACACAACTGCTGAGACAACAGCAGCAGCAGAGGACAGGACCTTCCCACTGCAAGGATAGAGGATATGAACCTCACAGTAATGGTGCTGCTGCCTCCTCCAGCCCAGCAGCAAAAGGGCTGCCCAAACCATGATGCTCCTTTCTACTGAGGCCTCCCTGGACTTATCTGCTCTCAGTCCATGGGATGTTATTCTGTGCTTATGGGTGGATAAGGTGGAGAGTCCACTGGTGAACTAGAAGGGATTTCTGCTGGGGTGCTGTAGAAGTGATTCAC